GTCTAGTGATGTTTAAAGTTTTTAGGATATCGAAGCCCCTAGAATTTAATGAAAACTGTAAACCCTTATTCTAGAAAATGTACACACAAACATACAATCCTTGTTTAGAACATGGCTTCAGACTAGAATAGAACTTGAAAATATTAAATTTCTTTTGCTTTGTCATTGAAGCAATTGTAAACTTTCTACAACAGTGTGTGCGTCTATATGCACATATACATGTATATATATTTAAATATGCATAAAAGCAGCAGCTTATATATGACTTTAATGCTATAAATCCTATCACCTTTTTGGCACTTTTAAAGCACAGCCAAAAATGATCTGAAAATTTGTTCCGGAATTGCAAGTTGGCCCCCACTGTCTCAGAGATTCCTAAATGCTGCTGAGTTCTCTGGAGCCACCTGGTCACGTTCCAAGCCAGCTGGGATTCTAGGGAAAGGGACTAACTGACCAGGGGCCTCAAAGGAGCCTAAATCTGTTAAAGGAGCCTTAAACTGTTTAAACCCATGCTCCCCCTCCCTTCAACTGCATGGTCCAAGGGAGTCCTAACCTATCTTCCCATTTTTGATCACCACTCACTAGAGGGGCACCCGACAACAGGAAACCTTTGCAATTAGCACCAACAAGCAAAACCACTCCAGGGCAGTGCTTCCCTAAGTATATTTCTCAGAATAAAAATCCTAGATGATACCTATTGTAAACAAAACAAAACAAAACAAAACCCACAAAACAAAAAACAAACTGTATACAATAAATCAGGGAAACAGCGCATACAAGATAGGCCCTTCTCAGAAACTGAAACCACACAAAGGTTCAGAAAAGCCTATTAGTAACCTAACAGAGCATTTCCCAAACTTATTTGGCCACAGAACCCTCTAGTCACATAATAACAAGATAATCTGCCAAAACACACCTTCTTCTCCAGGGAACTAAAAGATGGTTTTTAAAAAATCTTATGGTATAATTTCACATTAATAATAAGCAGGATACAAAACGACTTGTTTTCCTGTCATTTTTTTTTTTTAAAGAAACTGCTTTGTTTTGCTAAGAATATTCTTCTATCACAACATTCCCCTCTCTACAAATGTCCAGCTCAAAGTTATACTTTCTTATACCATTATTCAAGAATGTTAATTCTCATCCATAATCACTGGCCTCTTCATCTGGGACAAATAATTTCTGTATGCTTTTGATTCTGAGAATACCTCTCCACCTCAGTCGCAGTGGTTTTAAGTCTAGGGCTGGTAACCTGGGCTCTTAGCAAACACAACATTCCAGCAAGATTTTGGGCTTCCTAGCAAACCCTACTTAACATCCCAACAGGGGCTAAAATATTTTGAAAACCCTTAAAAAAACCCAAAACTTCATCTTTACTCTCTGTGAAAATCAGCCCTTTGAAGATCTAATGACACTTCAGTTAAACCTTTTGAGGGCAGGGGCACCTGGGTGGCTCAGTCAGTTAAGCATCTGCCTTTAGCTCAGGTCATGATCCCAGGGTCCTGGGATTGAGCCCTGTTTCCCCTGCATGGCTCCCTGCTCAGTGGGGAGCCTGCTTCTCCCTCTACTTTTGCCTCTCCCCTTACTTGTGCATACTTGCTCTGGCTCTCTCAAATAAATACATAAAATCTTAAAAAAAAAAACCTTTGAGGATAACAGATTACAAATCTTTAGTTCATGTAATTTACAATAAATTTCTTAATAATCCATTTAAGAAATAAGAAAACACCAAAGAGCAAATGTAAATTCCACAGAGCTGAACAAGAAAAAAAGGCAAAAGATAATTCTTAATGCCAACAACATATACAAAAGACAATAATCAAAACCCAAATTATACTCAGTGGCTCTGATCAGGATTTCAATTGTATAAATAACCAAAGCAAGACAAAGTCAATTACTAGATCCCTATGAGCTTAGAACAAAAACACAAAGATGCTGCACCTTCTTCATTAAAGCAAGGCCCTGGCGCACACCTTGTCACACTGTGTAATTAGAACACAGCAAAGAACTACCACCCCATGAAGACACAGAACTTTTTCTTAATGTATCTTACCTGAAAAGGTAAACCCAGGTACCACAGGAAGAAGATACTACTACAAATATAAAATCATAGGATATTTTATAGGGAATTGGAGTTCTTGGTTTTAGGTTGTTTTTTCTTTTCTGGTAGGGCAAAGCAGATCTTTCGATACTCAGTCGTTACAAACCTGAGGTGTTTCTTTCTTTAAACTTAAGAAGGAAGTAAGTTATATTTAATTTATATTATGTATTTGTCTGGAACTGAACACTAAATACTATGTTTGAATCATTTGATTTAAATCATAGTTTATGTAGATAATCATAAATTTACTTTTTAAAACCCTTTTGATATACAGACTCACAAGACGTTCCAAAAATAGTACAGAGACTGTGTATCCATCACTCAGCTTCTTGACTTTATATTTTGGTTTTAAAGAGTTAAGACTTTTGACTGTTTATGGAAAACTGTCAAAAAACCTAACAGGCCTGGTGGATATATATTCTTGGAACAGGTTCCACGAAAACTGACTTGAAATACCACTATTATCACATGAAGGCACCTTAACAAATTGGTTTTCTGAGATTGTATCATTGATACGTTTCTGCCTCTTTTGATGTCTAGTTTCTTTCCATTTTTGTAGACTTCTGAAAACTGCAACTTAGCTGTGTTTGAAATAAGCTCCCTGATTCCTTCACATTAATAAATCTAGCAATATTAAAGGAATAGAAATTACAAATGCAAATCAAAATGCTTTGGATTTGTTGTAAAACTCTTGAATTCTCTAGTACTCCCAAAATAATACAAACAACCCTAAGCTGAAATTTGTCGTTGCCAATCTTTGCAGGGGAAAATAACCATGGTGAAGGAATGACAATCCTCAATGCTTTTTAGAGTGTCTTTAGTGTTCAAAGAAACGATCAATCTTATGGATGACCGGTGGCCGTCCGCTGATGGAAGATCTCTATCTTATGGGAATTATCTGACTGGTTTTCTAATCCTATACTACCAACAAATATAAACACAAACACAGTCCCTTTGGTCATATTCCACCATCACGTCCTCAAGAATGTAGCTCACAGTATTTTGTTAAACACTGTGTACCATTTACCTCAGCAACTGAAACTTTATCCAGAACGTATCCTGACAGGCTAGTCACAAGTTCTCTGGCCAATCTGGAAAGTTGTTTCTTTCTAAGAGCTTCTTCGATGCGCGGCTCATCCCTGGAATGCTTTATACTCAGTTATAGCTTCCTGCCATCTTGCTGGCTTATCCTCAAAATGCTCAACTAAGAATCCCAACGTATAAATTCTCACTTATCTAAATCACATTTTGCATCTTAGGAAAGGTAGTCTGGAAACATCCTAGCCTATGTACTGCCAGTCTAAAGGCAATTCAAAGCAGGAAATGACCAAAAGGAAGTAAATCATATTTACAGCTGTCTTTTGTACTAAAAAATGACAAATACATGTTATTCTAGAATGCTATCTTCTCATTAAACTTTCAAAACATGAAATGTTACAGTATGTTTATTGGCTGAATTCTGTGACGTAAGAACACGATCTCTACATTCTTATAAAAATTTAAACACACTATCCTTAGCATGGATATTAGTAATTTTACTCCCAGAAAACTTTACATAAGCCAGTATTATCTTTGTGCCCATGGAGAAACTTGGGAGTTAAATTTACCATTTGATTTTAGAATCTGTTAGGGTTGATATAGCTCTTTCTCCCCAATTTTTCATTTTTCCCAAACCTAATTTTAATTGTTCTGTTTATATACATTGACAATTTTAAGCCACTTCAAATGCTTCTTTGAAGGCTTAACATAAATCACAACTGAAAAAGACCAACCCTAACTAAAGCATAAACAGACTGTCTGATTAATGTGTTAACCACCTTTCTCCAATATACATCAATCCCAGAGGACTGTAAGTCCTATGGTCATGATTTTCAATATAGAATATTCATACGGATTTTGGATTGCTGGAATCTAATACAAAATTAATACAAAGCACACAATCCCATTGCAGAAGTAATGTGAAACTCATTAGTTACTTTCCCTAAATACATCCAAACAGGTAAGATTTTGAAGACTACCTTGTTTCTCATTTAATTAAAACTTTGAAGAAAAAATATTTACAATGACTTATACACTCCTACATCAAGAGCTACCTAAATACAGAGCAAACTGGGAGGATTTAGGTCAAACACAGCTGAGCTCCATTCAGCTCCAATTAGGCGAGTCTCTTGACTACAGAGCTGTTTTCTTAACGTGGGGGTTTCTGCACGACGTGGTAAGATTTGCTGAGCACCATAGTAATCTTTTGAGACACTAATCAAAAACATGATCCTATATTTTAAAAACACCAGAAGTGGTTTTAGGACAACAGAAGCACCTCAGCCACTAAAATTAGAGAGATTCTGTTATAAGGAAAATCACCTGCACAGCAAATCCTTTAACAGGTCGGCAACCAATAAATAGAAAATACTCTTTAAAAACTACCGCTGTTTCCAAATATCCCATTAGATGCTTCAACTGTAGTTCAACTATATGGAAAATAATAAGTTGCCATAAAGCTTTTGACTATGTGACAGTCGTCTTATGAAAAGAACACTGGTTCAAGCATGATGTACTTGGACCAAGCACACAGTAGGTACTTCTGTCACTCTAGCAGAATAGTGTCTGACAATTGGGCAACTTTCAGTAAGACTTTACAGCCTAGCATAATAAATGATGACCAATATACTCAGTTCCCCTGAAATTAATCCAAGAAAGAGAGAATTTGAGTTAAAAATGTACTACAAATACATAGGTCCAAAGCTGCCATTGGTCCAATAAACTAAAAGAATCCTTGCTAACCTTAACTGAACACATCAGCAAATACCAATGTTCTATTGAAGTGCATACAGTCAGATGAATATTATATGTAACCACCTGTGATACATATATATTTCTCAGACATATGTGTGTGTGTGTGTGTGTGTGTGTGTGTGTGTGTGTGTGTGTGTAGTACTGATCGCCCAGAAGATTATACTTCTGAGAACATAATTAAAAAGCACATTCCTCGTTGCTTTTTAAATACAGGCTTTTCTACTGAAGTAAATAGAATATGAGAGTATTACATTTTTCCCTAACGTCTAAAATTGGCATCAAAATTTCTAAACAGAAGAAAAAAAAGCCTCAAAAAGCCACATATTAGATATTCAAACTGTTCTAAGAAAACTAAATTAATAAATTAACTTGAATAAATAAGAGCACACATTCAGAACAGAATTGTATGTTTTGGTCAGCAACATGTGAACTAAAGGCAAAAATCTGCCAAGATTAAGGCAGGTTGTTGTTGTTTAAATATACAGTACAGTGTGTTTTCTTTTTTCCCCAAGTTCATTTAGCATTCATTCTGATGTTATCTAAAGTGCACTGCGAAGCTAAAATACAAGCTTCCTAATTAAGAAAAACTAGATGTCAGAGAAAGTTTCTTTTTAGAGCCTTCCTTATACCTACTAATGGCATTTTCTGTTTGCCTTCACATAAGTAGTGTAAGAGATGACTGCAACAATCACATGACTTTGGACACAAAGCATGAGGACTGTCAGGGCGATAGCCGTTGTAAGGAATTACTTTCTTCTTCTGCTGGAGTCAGTTTAAGTGTTGGCAGTTTCCGAGGAGGAAGCTGAGGGCTTTGGCGAAGATTGTCATCCATCTGTGGAACATACAAAAGATACATCTGACTAATGGCGGTGGCACCACTTCTGTGGACTATGGTCTCCCAATCCAAACCATAGACTAGAAGAGTACAGAACCATATGGTTCCAGAACTGCCTCAGAAACCTTTTCCTTACAAATACTCAAGAATTTGAAATGTTGTACCCCAAATACCAGCTAACTCAGTATATGTATAAAAGCTATGTTGTTCGTCTTTGATGCCTTCACAAATTATAGTAATTTCATAAAATGAACTCAACCAGATCACAACTTGATTTAAGAAATCTTACGATAGTAAATGTAAAAGCAATACTTCTCACACATGGAGCTCCCCAGTTTACAAATCATGTTCACGTACAATGCCTCTTTTGATCTTGCCAACACAGCTGGGAAGGCAAAATGGAAGATGATCATTCCCTATTCTGCACATTAGCAAAACAGAGCTCAGAAAGGTTAAGAGATTTGCATTAGGCTGCAAAGCTAGCATCACGAGCTGAAACTAGAGCCCAGGTCTTCTTACTCCAATACTACTGTTCTTTCAACTAGACCTCAGTGCCTCAGTGAAAATGACCTGTGCTCCCCTCAGGAGGATTTTAGCATCCCTGGAACACTGAGTCAGACCTCAGAAAGCTAGCTTTAAGCAGGAGCCCTAGGAATAGAGTGCTAGGTTCAGAACCTGCTGTTGAGCTCTCTGTCAGCTCAACTTCAGGAGACTTGAAAGCTGTTGCTCCCACGGATCCCAAACCGGCAGCATAGAGCATCTGATTACCCACTTGCTAAGTAGGCTTTTCTAGAGTTTTGAGCATGTGCAGAGCAAAACTCTCTCTTCTCTCCTCCAGATGCTCTTACAAAGCACAGAAGAAATGTCTCAATAGAGGTACATGCAACTTACAGGAAAGCAAAGAGAATGAAAGATTAACTTTCAATTTTCCAACAGAAAAAAGTATCCCTGGTGAACGCCTTGAATCAATTGTGTTGTCAGGCTTTTTTCTTACAAGAATTAAGTCCCTCAAATATTACTCTTTCTTTTTTTAAGCTCTAGATTTTCTGTCCAAATGGTGAACAATAGTAGCCAATAGGTTTGTCGTTCTAACACCGGTAGTCAACAGTGAACCACACCTAGAGCAGATGTGAAATGGGTGGACAGCAGAGTGCCTGACTTAGAGTTAGGAAGCTTTCATATATTCATGATGACCCAAGATAGAAGTGTACCAAGTGATACAACTGGGTGCCTCCTGGGTGCCCTTTCCGCACAGGTAGATATCTCGTGGTTCCCTCTACATGGCTGTCATGAATTTGCCACACAGAGAAAATGAAAACTCTACTGGATGGCCCCTATCTAGCAGTTAAGTGTCTAAAACAATCTGCATAATCTTTCTATGACCCACACTTAAACACTCAGCATATTTCCTCTCACGGGATTGACTGAGTTGGGCTAAGAAGATAAACTTGGCGTGCAGTCAGCCCACCTAAACTTTAGTACTGGTCTTTTACAATTTTTCTGCTCAGTTCTACTCACTACTCATGTTCTAACAACACATGAAATACTGTAAGAAGAAACAGAATGGTCATGCCAGAGAGAGGCAGAGGTTTCTGGCTACTAGTACTACTAGTACTGGATTCAGAGTTCCATGTATCTCCTTCATTTGCAGCTGACTAACTACAGAGCCCATGCTGGAATCCAGTCTCCAGAGTTCAAATTCCCTCTCTGCTTCTAGCCAGCTGAATGACCTTAGGTAGGTGACATATACTACTCTCGAAGCGTCACTGTCCTCATCTGTAAAACAGGGCTGATGGAGTAGCTGCACACACAGAGCTGCTGTGAGGACTAGGGAGACAACTCAAAAGCTCACACAACACGGTGCCGTTACTGAGACCTCAGGAACTGAGGGCCAGTGCTATCAGGCCACAGTGCCTCACTGGTTAGTGAAAAAAGGAAGTATCATTCACTGGTATAAGAAAAAAAGCAAGTTCATCAGACATTTGGGGGGAAAATGCGTAAGTCTCTTGTATTTTTTCAACTAGAATCACCTTTGAAATTTCCATTACTGGCTATCTCTCCTATATACTTCCTCAATATCTCTCTTATCAAATGAGCAAACCCGAAGTGGCAAAATATGCCCACTGATTAAAAAAAACAACACCACCAAAAACCATAAGCGACATTAAGAACAGAGAAGGAAAGGAAGGTGAAAAAAATAAAACAGTTTAAGTAGAAGAAAGAAAAAGACATCATAGTGCTATTCAGAAAGGACAAGCACAGGTGCTTATGATCTCAAGAAGTATTATCCTTCAGAGACAGAAACAGACAAGCAAAGAAGTGTTTTAGTTTTGTCTTTTTTTTTTTTTTTTAAAGACCAGGCTTTTGGGTCTCCTAATTTGAAAAATCACTAATTATGTGGTAAAAGTAAACCCAATACCACTATCAAAGTAATCAGGCCACTACTGGCTTCAAAACATTGTACTATGTACAACTTTAATAAATGTATATTTGAGCAGCTCTATGAAAAAAATAAACTCTTATACAATATTAATTTCAGGAAGGAAAATACTAAACTACTATAAAATAATGGTTGAAATAAACTTGACCTTTTCAATCAAGTTGGATTCCTTATTTACAAGTTGTGTGAGTTTCTGCAGATTTGCATCTACCGTTTCTTGTCCAGCAGGAGAGATGCCTAAGAAGCCAGGACAGAAATCAGAAAGACAGAAAATTTTGAAAGTCTTTAAAGCTGTTTGGACTGAAAGAATTTTGAGTCTCTCCACCCTCCCAAGTATGCCACCCTCCAAAAAAAAAAAAAACCCAGGCAAAATGAAAAACGATTATGGGTTTAAAGGCAAAGTTAAAAGAGATAGTAATGCTCCCAAACCAAACCCTAAACAAAAAGACTACATTAGTCTATTAAGTAGACAGCCAAGTGTTATGCAGTTAGCAAGTGTAGTTAGTCAAAGAGCACAGCAGTCCTCATATCCTTCTTAAATTTGAGTTGTACCTTTTCCCCACTCATACCAAATAAGCCTTTAGTCACAATGACTGGGACAGCATTCTAAGGCAGCGACTCTGAAACGGCCCCCAACCAGGCAGTCACAGTATTTGGAGGGACTTAAAAAAATACAGATTCCTGGGCTCCATGCCTGTGAGATGCTAATTCAGTAAATCTGACAAAGGAGCCAAAATTCTGTATTTGTCCTCTAGCCAGGTTTGCTAATCACTGTTCCAGAGTAACAAGGCTGAACGGTACTTAGTTTCATGACTCTCAAACTGCTAACCCCTCGCTCTCTACCAAACAAACAACCCACCCTGAAAAACAAACTGTCCCTAAGCCAGTTACCCTTGCAACTTCTGTTTCTTTAAAAGGACAGTCTCTGCCAACTCTCCCAATACAAATTTCGTATCCCGATCACTTAAGCACAAGGTCCCACACTCCCAAGGAACCATATCCTAAGTGACGGGTACCCTCTATTTACAATACCTCCAGTCTGATGCAATCAGTTTTCAAGTAGTGGAATCATGGGAGTGTACCTCCCCCAAATCAATCTGCTGCTGATTTCTGTTCACGCAGGAAAATGCTAGAAGCAACATTTAAAATAATTGCCCATTTGTGTTAGGATAAATGCTATCTTTCAGCAGGGACTCAATAAATACCTGTGGTTAACTTTTAGAAGAAAATGATCCACTTCAAAGGGGCAATTTTTAAAGAAGAACAAGAGGCAAGATATGTATAAAATCTAGAAGAACAGACAAAAGGCAAACATCTATTTCTCTATTTAAAGTAGAACTAACACATGGGAATAAATTCGGAAAAATGCAACTGTTTTAAGTGCTACAATTCAACATTTAAAGACAATACACAAATTTCTTCAATAAGTCATGAATTTTGCTTATACGTCCATTGGAAAATATGCAGATATTCTACGCAAACACAGATTAGCTGAAGAAGGTCCAGCTTACCTCCAAGACTAAGCCTAAAATAACTGTTTAGGATGTCATCACAAAAGCGGCACAGGTTGGAGAGCTGTTTCAGATGTTCTTGTAATTGAACTTTAGGAAAGTGTACTTTATAAAGTGGCGCGAGGAAACCAAACACATAGGCATCCAAGGTAGATGGCCTAAAAATAAATTAAGGATTTTTTAAAAAACACATAGGAAAATACTAACTTGGGATTATGTTAAAAATATTTTTTCTCAAATCCATCTGCCAATTCTGGAGTATATAATATAGCCTTTTAAAAGGTTTACTACATATTTTTGCTTATGAAAGTGATGCAATGAATGAGGGTTATATTCAGTAGTTTTTTTAATACTGTAACCATTTATTTTTTTTAGAAGAAAAGTTATAAATTAAAGATGCATGTTTACTCACAAGTGTTACGTACAGCTAGGAGACAGGGTGGGAATAGCCTTAGATATTTTAAATTCACACAGATAGCAAGCATATGGAGTCAATGTTTGATTACCATGGACAGAAAAAGTTCACTAGAGTAATCCATTAAATCTTTTTCTTAAAGTAAAAAACTCATAAAGGGGGGCAAGAGGACTTGCTTTAGGTAACTGTTTATTGACTACATGCATACAAAACATCAGAATGACTTTGAAGGGAATGCACTCACGTATCTCCAAAGAAAAACTGAGATGTTCCCAATCTGTTTGACAGAAGATTTAGGCACTCCTTGGCATCTCTGTATATCTAATAAGGATAAAATAACAGCTCAAAAGTAGAAAGGACGCTCTAGAACTCCTTTTAGGCAAGCATTTAGGTAGTTTCATCTCTGCTGCTTCTCAGGTTCCTCCTCTGGAGGTCCCTTGCTTTGAAAGTAATGCCAACCATACCTGAGCTTCCACTTCTCGGAGGTGGTAGAGAGGAGGCTCTCCTCTGGTCAGAAGAATTCTATTTAGTGCTCCCTTAGACATCCTTCCAGGCAGAATCAAACTCAAGGGAAAAGGAATTTGTGAAGCAAACCATGGCTTTGTCACAGTAAAGTAATTGTCACTCTCAACCCAGAATGTGTGAAGCTGCAAAACAAACAAAAACAACTAAAAACCAAAACCAAACAAAACAAAAACAAAAAACAACCCCCCTCCAATCAAAAAACCAAAACAAAACCAAAAACAAACCCACTACAAGCATGTTCTTTTATTAAAAGAAAGGTCATCCGATCAAATGAAAGTTTTTGATAAACATCTTTGTCTAAAGTAGCTTCATCCAACTTTCCCAATTTGAATGACTCAAGTATAAAACAAGATTTTAAACACATACATCTGTTGATTGCTGTATCCCACGCACCCAGAACAAGGCCTGGCATATATCCGCTCAATAAATATTTGTTGAATGAATGAGTTATACTTAGCTGAATTCTATACATGGGAGCAACAAACTCCATCTTCCATAAATTATTTCCAAAATGACATTATCTTTCACTTCATTGTTTCATGTCCTAGTTGAATGTCTAACAATCCAGTTGCACAGTAACATAGAATCAAGATGAATACATACATGAAACTTCCTCTCTTAAGCCTTTTTCACTATGCTCCTTCTAAATAGACTGAAGTGTATTTTTAGTAGGTCACTACAATACCAATGCTCACCACTGCAGGAAGAAGCTTCTCTTCGATGAGAGCAATGTAAGCCAGGGTATCTGCCCCCTGTTTTGCTGAGAGTTCATAATCAGCATTATACTTCTATTAGAAAACATACAACCAAAAAAACTTGAGAAGTCAAGGGCATCTGAAAACAGGGAAGCTAAATAACATTCTTCCTCAAAAATGGCAAATATGATATTAAAAGGCAGAACGATAAATACAAAATCAGTGACAAATGCAGCTTGATGCAAATAAAGTTCTTAGCACAACATCACACACACGGTAAGGTCAATAAATATTGTTCTTTTTTTTTTTTTTTGTTAACTGCTATTATTTAATGATTGTTTATGACCTAAGTTTTGTTAGTGCTTGCCATGTAGTGCAAACTTAATAAATAGAAGCTATTATTTTTAACAATAAGGAAGAAGTTCTAATTGGATGCATTTTTCCCCATGAGAAAAGAAAGAAAACCCCCCAATTTAAAACAGTTCTAAATTTTGTTGACATAGGACTGACTTTTTTAAGAAAAGTATTGTCAAAACCAATTATAACTTTGGTATTTATAGAAGTCTTTACATGTTTAAATATTCTGGATACATTATACAAATCTTTACATGCTTGCCCGTTTTAGATACATTACTTCATGAAACATTTCATTGCAACTCTCCAGTTAAGTGTTCTTTAAAAATAAAATAGTTGCTAGCTGATGGGAACTCAGATGTCATATGTAGCAGAAAGTGTGTAGCAGCTTGTGGCTAAATTGACAATCGTATCAGTCAGTGTAATCGTGAAGATGGCTTCATTGAATCTGCTTATGTCTAAACTTAAATCCAGAACAGTATATGAAAATATAAATTGAGTGTACTTCACTATATGACTTTCGTATCACAATACAACTCATGATTCAGAGCAGTAATTCTCAAGTCCACTTTTATACCAAACCTGAGGTATCTCCAATTATCTACTGATTTGATTTTTAAAAATTTTAAAAAAACTTTACAATGTTTTTATTTTTGTTGTTTTTAAGTAACATGCAGGGAACGTGTTAAAAATGAACCACCCACCTGTTTTCTTAAAAAGTTTAGTATTTTTGCAGGCTGAGAAACAATGTTGTCTTCAGTTGTCAAAATTGGTACATCTCCTATAACCAAAAACAGTTCACATACAAGGAAATGTTTCTACTTCCTCTGAAGGGATTCTGATCCCCTAAAAACTACAACTGCATTTGGAGGGGGAAAATGAGTAAGCTCATCTTAGTTTTTTGCAATTTCACAATGCAGTTTTGGAGAACACTGTCATTTCTCGTAATTTCCATTGATCTGGCTTATATTTTAAAGCATTACTCAGAATGATCAAACCATAAGCAACATACAGCCAAGGTCATAGTAAGAAGAAACTAAACCCCAAGGTATTCCATGGCTGCATGCCTCACAGGTTTAAATTCGGCGAGGAAGGGGGAGTAATTTCAAAAACAGCAGGAAAGTGTATTAAAATATTTACACTGTACCTCTTGAACCTCTCCAGGTGTTATCTATGACATTGACTTTCAAGGGTGCACCAGAAAATTTGGCATAAGCCTGAAACAAAGTTTGCAATAAAACATTAGGCTTGAGTACGTAGCGCAAATCTACAGAGCAACTTTACAGCCTGGTCCCCCTGAGGCAGAAACGCCTGACACGCGGGCTGTGTCCCTCTCCGGCTGTCTAGCAGAGGACCCGCGCGTCAGCTGCCCATCTTTCGGGGACTCTGTCCCCCCAAAGGTCGGGGGGTGCAGAGCTGGGCACGCGTGCACCCAGCTTTGGCTTTTCATTCCACCGCCCAGAAAGCTCTGCAAGGCTGAGAAGACTCGGAGCCAAGTGGGAAAGCCATGACTCTTCCGCCAGGCCTTGGCGGGGTCACAGGCCAGGCTGTGACTCCAGGGTAAGGAACCCAGTGCAGTGCAAAGAGAAGCTCCCCGGCCACTCTCGGCCCTGCAGCGCCGCAGAGAACCGCAGCGAGCCACGGAGACCAGACCCAGCTAGCCTCGCGCCTCTGGCCCCGCCCATCTTTCCTGCGCCCTGGCCCGCGAGGCGGCCTCACCATCACCACCAGGGACTCGCTGTGCACCGATGGGAGCCCCCAGCCACCTCCCCAGCAACTGAGCTCCAAGGGGGCCGCCATCTTGCCGGGGCCGGCCTTTGCTACACCGGAAGTACTTAGCGGCCCAATTTCCGGCACGTTGAAACACGGGGCGGGGCGGAGGGAGGGAAAAGTACCTTTGGACTGTGAAGAGGTGTGGCAAGGAGAGGTGGGGGGGTTAAAAGTGCACTCACCTTAGCTAATTGAATTTAAATTTAAAAAATAATAATAAATAAAAAATAAAAACCTACTTAGAATCAGCCTGGCTTAATGGTTAAGAATCCTGGCCCTTAAGATACGTCTGCCAGACAGTCCTCAAATATTTACTGGAAGCCAAGTGTGCTCCAGACTGTTTGAACATTACTACCTTGGGCCTAAACTAGCCCATTTGTAAAATAGGCAGGATTGTTGTGTTTTTAAAAATTATGACACAGGGAGAAATAAGTTGACATACAATAGGAACTCAATAATTGTTCAGCCCCTTACCCCATACACTTGGCTTTTGTCTCATTCCACTCTCAGTCTTAATTATGTCACCCTCATGTTCATTTGCTCCACTCTCCTTAGAGGTAACCCTATTACTGAAACTTGTTAAGTGAATTCTGCCTTTTTCAGACAGGAATATCTCCTTTCTCTGCCACTGGTCCCTCAAAACAGCTTAACTGTCACCTTCTCTGGGATGATTTTACAAAGTTAGGAACTTTGGCATTCCTGCAGACGCTTGTGCACGCTTAAATTGTGGCTTCTATTCCATACAGATTTTTTGCCTTTCACTGTACTGAAAATTCTCTGAAGACAGAACAGGGCTGGCTTCATAGATGTGAGACCTGTGTAGTCACACAGGGCCCTGTGCATAGAAGAGCCCAGAACTGCCTTAATGTTCTGCTACCATTGTCTTGAAATTCTTAACTTTTTAACAAGGGGCTTCCATTTTTATTTTCTCCTGGGCCCTACAGATCATATAGCCACCCAACCTGTGGGCATGAACCAAATGTTTTTTTGAAAATCACACTGACAGTTTCTCAGAGAAACTGTCAAGGAGGAATAATAGGCCTTCAGAATGCCATGATCCTATCAGACTCAGAGGGTTCTGGAGTTGGGACTTGGGTCTGGAGTTGGGACTTCTTCTAGAAGGTACAACAGTCTTTCTGGGATACCCTCGCAGTCATTTCTCCAAGTTCTTTCCTTAACTCTGCCACATTGAAGTAGCTGGGTCCCCTTAAACAACTCTAAGCTCAAAAGAAACCTCTGCAAATTTTCATAAAATTACAATTCAACAAAGAATTGATAGGCATTCCCTAGGGTCAGATGGTTTATTTAGCCATCTAAATTATAGCGTCGATCTGCTAAAGTTTTGGTTTTTTTTTCATGTTTCAAAAGCAAAAGTTCTCAGAAATGGGAAGGATAAAGTATATCAAAGGTGGGAATCAATTGATAATACTTTATAAATGAGAAATGCTTAATAAATGTTCATTGAAGCCAAATATCAAAAGATTTATTGAGCAGCTACTGTATCCAAGACACTGTAAGGCTCTGGGAGAAACAGAAATAAATAAGACTTGAATTCTATTCTCATGAGTCTATAGTCCACAAAGGAAACATACAACTAAGTGAAAGAAGTCAGATTATCATGAGTAACATTAGAGACATAACTAAAATACTATGGAAGCACAAACCAGGAATGATGCATCCTCTCTGGGATCAGCAGAGGCTGTCTGTTCAGTCTTAAGTGTAAAGAAAGTAATTCAACTTTCAGATTCAAGAAATAGGACTTTCCTGTCTTGGGGGTTAAAATCCTAAGTCATAAAACTCAGAGTCTATATACTGCAATCAGGCATTTAAAGTAATCATATGCAGCTTGGGGCACCTGGGTGGCTTTGTCAGTTGAGCATCTGACTCTTAATTTTGGCTCAGGTCATGATCTCAGAGCCATGAGATTGATCCCACATCAAGCCCCACATGGGGCTCTGCATTCAGCACAGTCTGCTTGTTCTCCCTCTGCTTCTCCCCTGGCTTACTCACTTACTCTCTCTTGCTCTCAAATAAATAAAGTCTTTAAAATAATCATACACGGAGAATGTGGATTACCTAAGTCTTGTTTGCATGGTGGAGGGGAGTGGGTAATGGCTGCACATTTTTGTGGACACCTAATATAATTAGTCAGTTCAGACTTCTCCCTTATTGCTGCTATTACATATGACAATTTCATTTGTGTTAAAGAGAAATTAAATCTCTCCTCTTAGCATCGAATTGAGACAGAAAATAGCAGGCTATTGCATCTGATGAGAGAATCCTTACACACATGTTTATTTGTGTCTATTTAATAGCAATCTTTTATTGTCGCAATTCCTCCTGAGAGTCTGCATTTGCTAGATTGAATTTTAAAACCCTAGCACAGCTGATTGCACAACCAGGCTGAATGTTGTTCCAGAGAAGCACATAGAAAGTTGAAACCTTCAGAAATTATGCCCAGTATGGATAGTTGGCACCTGTGCCTTTTTCTGGCTGCTAAAGTGTGTTGTTCAGAGTTCATCAAAATCATAATTTCAGATTCCTACCAGGAAACATATTATCTGCAAAACATTCACATATGTGTGGGATGACTTGAATTGCAGCTTTATAATGAGTATTCCAGACAATGTTTTCTCTTAAAAAGAAATAATATTATTTTTTCAAAAGATGGATATTAAAAATGGCTTCATCTAGTGATAGTCATGTGAACTCAAGGGACCTGACCTTGGCATCTATTTCTATCCCTCCTGTGTTTTCTAACTTGAAAGCCATGGTGTAAGTTCTATTAGGATCTTTTTGTCTGAGTGATTAAGAATCTGTGAAATGGTACTGTCACCAAAGATGAAAGGTTTGTGACAAGTGATCATGCAGTATGGTCATTCATGAGAAAGTTGAAGTAAAGATGCTTGAATGTCCCTTTCAACTCTAAACTTCTATAATTTAGTTCTGTGTTCAGGTATAAAATCCTTAGGGAAGAGAAGCAAACACTGGGTAGAAGTCAGAAGAGTTGGTTTCTGAGTTTGCCTCTAATTAACCATAAGACCAGAGCCAATCATTTTACCTTTATTCCTCCACTCATTCACTTATGAAGTGAAGGTTCTTTTAGCTATGGGACACACACTATCATGCTATGTGTAAAAAGCAATTAATAATAGTTTACATTCGTGAACAATTTCTACATGCCAGAAACTGTCTTATGTATCTGACATAAATTATTTGATCTTCATTAGGTAAGTACTGTTACATTCCCCTGTTTTCAGGGAGGGAAGTTAAGGCACAGAGATGTTCATTAACCTTCCCAAGCTCGCCTAGCCAATAGATGATAGAAGCAGAATTTGAACCCAGGCCATCTGGGCTTGTACTCTTAATCATACTGTCATACTGTCATACTACGGGTAGCCTTCTAAGTAGTCCATTAAAAAATCCTAGTTTCACTCAAAGTGAAGTTATTAATGCCATGATAGTACTATCATGTCCTGTTTCAATAATATTTATTTAGTATTAAGGGATTAAATAAGTTCCTTAAGCCACTTCTGTATGCACAGCATACACTGCTGGGCTAATTGAGGGAATTAAAACTTATGTTCATTGTTCATGATTTCAGAGGGATCATTGACAAGACCTACATAATTGAGGTAACTAGAGTTAATTAGGAGAACCATTTTGTCAAATAGACCCCAAGTCTAATGTAGTTTTAGACAAAGGACTTTAATGTATTGCTTTGCTTGGCAAAGGTCTAATGAAGAGGTAGGACTTCAGCTGACCTTGCGGGAAGGCTGGGTACATTGGATTTAAATTGGCACAGGGAAGGGATTCCCATGGGCTCTGCTACATTAGTTAAGTTGTAGAGATGGGAATGACTGTGGCAAAGAATGTTAAATAAATGGATGCTGAATCTGATAATAAGCTGGAGACTTATCAGGAAGATTGTTGATTGACTAACTTGAGAACCAGAATTGGTGATATCAGAAGGCATGGAGATATATAGTTTTGAGAAGGTAAAAGTCTAAATACAGTATCAACAGATGTACCTAGTCAGGGATGGAAGGTGCATGGACACCAAAGGACAAAGGGTTTTATGAACCCATCAGCTGTCTTAAATGAAGCAAAATGTTGTGTAAAATGAATTGAGGAAATGCTGGTGAATATTATTAGAAGAAAATCACCTGGAACACTTGTACTGAGCATTTTTGATTGAATAGGCTGTTAGAAATCTAATTTCATGGGATTGCTGAAGAGCAGGGTATTAGGAATAGGGGCAAGTATAAGATCTTGAGGCATATGGCAGATAAAGGAAAGTAATGGAATAGAAACAGAAGACTCAAGATAAATGTTTTGAAGGAGATGACAAGGTGAATCCACATACATATGAAGACAAAATTGGCTACTAGTGAGCAAAGTCTGAAGATGTCAGAGAGAAAAATGCCTAGTATCCTATTCCAAGGGTTCTCAGAATTACCCTAAGAGGGGAGAGGCTGAGATTAGGAATATGAATGGTGGAACTAGCACTGAAAATGAGAGGGGCTTTCTCTCTGACACTAAAGGAAGGTCCAAGGAAAGCATGGGATGCTGAGCTAGCCCAAACCAGTTACCTTCAAATCTCTCTGTTAAACTAGAAAACAAATCAAAAGAGTATGAGAGAGGGATTGGGGCTTTAAAGAGAAAGGGAATAATTTAGAGAATGTATCGGGGAGTTTGTAAAAAGTGAATGGGGGGCACCTGTGTGGCTCAGTCGGTTAAGTGACCAACTCATGATTTCAGCTCAGATCAGGATCTCAGTGTTGAGATAGAGCCCCGCATCTGCCTCTGTACCCAGCTCAGAATTTGCTTGGAATTCTTTCCATCTTCCTCTCCCTCCCCTGCTCTGTCCCACCCCCCTCCCCCACTCATCATAAGCCACATGCCCAAACGTGCACAACTCTCTCTCTCTCTCACAAGTAAATGAGTAAACAAATATTCTTTTAAAAGAAAACGTGAATGGAAACATTGCCAATAATGAAAAAGGTCAAATTTAAATTAGTATGATGGAG